GAGCCCATGGCATACGGGGCGCTTACGTCCCGTGAGTAAAAAAGAATAAGGTACAATACGGTGACTACCGTGACAAAACCAATGTGCCAGGATCTGGACAATAAAGATGTATCTATCTTCTCTTCTATTATCTATTTGTGGTGGCCCAATTTTGCTATTCAAAAGGCTTTTTAATGGCTGCATCAATCGACATGCGGTTTTCACCAAAAAATTCTTTAAAATATTCTCCAGAGCATGGCGCCCTTGGTTTTTTCAGTTTTGAGACAGTTTTGCTGCAAAAAAGCAACATTTCTTTATTTCGCCGATCGCTTTTGTAGGCCGACGCTTCTGTCTCTGTAATTTTAGAAAATCCGGAAGTGATATTTCGCGAGGCGCGTTTTGTTTTGAGAGTATAGATAGATCTTGACCTTATAATTTTTTGCATCTCTCAAGATTTATTGCCCCATTCCAGTAGAGTGTAAATATAGTACTCCAATGACTTTTAGTTGATATTAAAGCACCGGCCAAGATGGTCAGAGAACGGTTAGTATAAGAACGTATAGGCACCGCTGATCATTCCTTTCATCGAAAGGGGGCCCAGCTAGTATCTTATAAAAGGGAGGAAAAAATGGGTTTTTTCCAGCTACAGCAGACTATTTTCCTATGCACTTCCTCAGAATGTGTTCCTCACAGGAGGCAGTGCCAACCTGAAAGCCTTCAAGGACAGGATCGACTGGGAGCTGCTACAGATGAGACCGTTCCAGAGCTCCTACAACGTCTTCTGTGCAGGTTGGTGTGGCGGAGGCTGTGAAGAAAGTTATGAATAGGATCGTACTCAGAGTGTTTGGGGCTTTTGATTGGTTGTTTTCTGGTTGTTGTTTTTTGGGGATTTTTTTTGGTTCTGAATGGCATAATCTTTGTGTGTTGGAATGCAGATTGCGTCTACAAATCCTTTATTTTTCACCCAAATTTTTGTGGGTTTTTTGTCTTAGTTTTTTCTGTTCTGTTGTTCTTTTTGTATTTCTCTTCTTCAAAATTTTTAGTTTTCATTTTCTGTCTTTCAATATTGTTGGGGGGTTTTTTCATTTTGTTTGTGACCTGGTTTTCATTTTTGTGTCTTCTTTTTCTTGTTGTCCAAGTTTTTATTCTTTGAGCCTCATTTTTCTTTTCTTCTTGTACACTCACCTACGGTACCTCCTAGACCCACGGGACTGCTAGCTGCCAGCTTATGGGTGGTTGGATGCAACCATTAGTAGGTCTTAGTCTTACTAATTTTCTTTCCTTGTTTTCTCTGTCTGTCTGTCTGTCTGTCTGTCTGTCTGTCTGTCTGTCTGTCTGTCTGTCTGTCTGTCTTACTCTTTTCCAGCACTAAATGTCTATTGTTTTGTTGATGTGCTGCTCTCTTCTCAAACCAAATCTGTTGGTTTTTTTGTACTTTCAAACTTTCTTAAGATTGCTCAATTTATGTGGTGGCTGGAGGGTGTATTTTATAGGTACTTTCTTTTTCTCAGTACTAAATGATGACTGTTATTATGTTGATGTTCTTCTCTTTACTCAATCAAACAAACAAACAAACAAACAAACAAATGGGTGGCTGGCAGGGTCTCTGGTGTGGTTTGCTCCTTCTTTCCTATCAAACATCTGTCGTCCTTATCTCTCCTCCTTCTTTTTTGTGTTTGTTACTCCCTTGTAACACATCTATTCTTCGACACTTTTATGACCTTATTGTGTTGTCCGTGCTGTAAAACTCTTATTTAAAAAAAAACAACTAAAAAAACAAACAAACGAACAAACAAATATGCGTAATTCATCTCTACAGCCAACCCCAGCCTGGACGCGTGGAACGGAGCGAGGAAGTTTGCCATGTCGCCTCTCCTGACGGCCGGCTCCATCACCCGCAAAGACTACGAGGAGATGGGGGAGGGTTATCTCAGGGAGCACGTGGCAGCCAACAAATATTTCCCCAACCCTCTACCGGCGGCCCAGAAGTCGTAAATTGTTCGAACTGCAGTGACATTGTTTTGTTTGTTTGGTTGTTGTTGTTGGGTTGTTGTTGTTTTTTGTTTTTTTGGGGGGGGGGGGGGGGTTACCAACACTAGTGGTGCTGATAAAAACAATGTTTGTTGTTTTGGTTACATGTAGGCCTACATGTAATTGTTCTAATAATAGTTGTTTTTCAAAAATGCCATCATGTTTCATTGTTTATATATTCATCAATAAAAGTATCATTTAAACAAGGTCTTTTTGTCTTTGTTTTGTTGTGTCAGTGTCTTAATAATATTTGTTTTTGAGAGGGGGTGAGAGTGAGACGAGAGAGAGATACGGAGGGAGGGAGTGTGACACACACTCTCACAAATACACACTCACTCACTTGCACACACACACACACTCACTCACTCACTCGCAAACACTCACAAACACGCACATACACCTAGATGAGATGAATATAAGAAACTTGTAGTTGTATTGGGGAGACAGAGAGATGAGTATTGGTTGGTGTTTTCATAAGCCGACATTTACTAGAAGTTTCCAACTGATACCAAAATGACCAAATCGCCCACTCGTGTCGTGGCTAGTACATGTACCACCGCCCACTAGTACGTAGCTGGGAAGGCAGAGAGAAAGAGTGCTGGTGTTACTATTCATAAGTTGTCGATTATATTGCTGGAAGTTTCCCAGTGATGCCAAAATGACCAAATCGCCCACTAGTGGCTAGTGGCTAGTGTACCACCGCCCACTGGTATGTAGCTGGGAAGGCAGAGAGAAAAAATGTTGGTGTTAGCTGTTCCCATCTTTTTATGCAAGAAAAATTGTGAAATTATGCAAACTAAGCCCAATAATGTGAAATTATGCGATTCTGTTAATTTTAACAAAGAATGATAAAGGAAAATAATCAGAAATAATGCTAAAAATGATAAAATTTTGCTAAATTATGCGAGGTGCATAAAACTACGGGGACAGACTGGGCCAAGTCAGCAGAAAGGGTGCTGTGGCCATCTCCAGGTGATTGTTGTCGTTCGTTAGTTAAGAGGACGCTATGAAATTTTTAGCGTCTTAAAACTTGAAGATGGCAAAATTGGATGAAACAAGAATGACATGCCCTCTGTTTGGCTCTTCGCCGTTGATGAACGCAGAAGGGTTTGATTTTGGTTTGGAAAATGCTGGGATTTTTTATTTATTTTAAAATTTTTTTTATTATACATAGGTTTATTTTTTATTTATTTATTAATTTTTTTAAATTCATAATTTCCATCCAACTCGGCCTGGGTTAGCTCTGTGTAAGGAAGTATAGGGTGCAGTCTTCCTCCTAAATTATACTAAATGTGGCGCTCATATGACCTTATGCAGTTGCGAGCCCCGTAAAACCTTACTAAAGAGTGAAACAAACAACATAAAAACTAAATGTGAAGCGTGTTGACAAAAATGAGTGACTTCTCGGATTTGAGCCCAGATGGAAATAGATACATCAAGCTTATAGGTGAAGTTTTTAAAATTTGTAATTATGAAATAATGAAAAGCACGTGGAGGGATGGCACGAAGCTAATACCTGTGTCATCATTAAGAGTGCGGCAGTTGCTTTTTTTTTTCGGCTTTTGTTTTGTCTTTGTTTGTCTTGTTTTTTGTTTTGTTTTTTTCCCCTTTATCTTTATTGTTAATTTATTTCTTTTTTTTCTCTCTTTTCTTACTGTTTCGGACTTATTGTCTTTTATTTATTTGTGTCTTTTTATATTAAATTTTATTTATTTATGTTATACTTAAAGAATGTGGCATCAATAGAAAAATATGATACAAATTTGACCTATGAGCCAATATTTGGCCAATGTTGCCATTTGTGGATTTCGAGGACTCAACTCATATTTTTTGCCAGCACGCCTCACAAATGATCTTGATTGTGTCAATAAGGGTGAAAAAGTGACAATTACTTTAATTCGTTCCCATCTTTATGCTCTCTCTCCAATAGGGTCTTTTAAAAACCTGGTGTCGATTTTGTCATGAATGCGCTCTTTGTTGAGGAACTCGATAGACACAAGTTCGATTCCCACGTGGGATTGTCTATTTTATCGAGTATCCCCTTTCTTACTGCTGGATCCTCTACTCTATCATTATCATCCAACTTGACTGGGGTTGCGTCTGACAAGAAAATTTAGTTTTAGTAAAGGTTTTACAGTACAGCTTTTGCGACGCAAATAATAAGTGCCAAAGATTAGAGGTGTTACTACAAGAGAGTAGAATGGAAAATAAAAGGAGAAGTGATAAGAATGATGATAGATGTTTGATAGAAAAGGAGGAAACCACAACAGAACACCTGTCAACCACCAACAACCTGGGCCTAAGAAAGGTCAAAGAGCTAATGTAAATTTTGACACCCCAGTGATTATATATAATATTGCGTGTTTAGATCACGAGGAACGAAATGAGGAAGTAATCTAACTGTCCCCGTCGTTCGTTTTATGCAAGAAAAATTCTGAAATTATGCAAACTGAACCCAAAAAATGTGAAATTATGCGATTCTGTTAATTTTAACAAAGAATGATAAAGGAAAATAATTAGAAATTATGCTCCAAAAAAAAATAATTTTTTAAATCAAATTTTGCTAAATTATGCGGGGTGCATAAAACCACGGGGACAGATCTAAACATCGCTTTATTATATAATCCCTAGACCTGAAACTAGAATGGATAAAGAGTGTGAAAAGTAAGAAATGCGGTAGCTGGGGTTCAAGTCCAACGAAGTTGTGCCACCTCGATGTACAGCACCACAAAAAATTGAAAGTGTGACCTGAAGAGATGGATTTTGCAGATGAGGAAATATTATCATTGGATTTTGACCTAATCAAAATGATTCCTATAAAAATGAGTTGTGGAAAATGAACCTTTAGAAATGAACACAAAAATATGCAGATATTGTTATGAATGCAGAGATTTTGTGTTGTTCAGAAAAATGAAAACATGTGTTGATGGATACAGACTTTTGTAAAAAAATTTATTGAGTATGTGTTTCACGGCACTATCGACTCAATTTTGGCCATGTAAGTGCTATGGATACCGACATAAATGTAAAGAATGCGAAAAAAACCCAATGAAACAGAAACACTATCAAGAAAATAAGGAAAAATACAAACAAGCAACAGGCGTTAATGGGGCGAAATGTAGTTTCTTAGGAGACTGCTAAGAGTATCGTGGAAGGAAAAGAAATCAAATGAGGTAGTGCTTGATGAAGCCCACGTGTGACGCTCAATATTAAAAACAATCAGGAAACATCAAATGTGAGGCACCGTGGTGGAATCAGGATCTCGTCAATTTTTGGGCATGTAGAGTTAATGATATCATCTTAAAGCTTGTTCACTTGTCTTTATTTGGATGAAAAAAATATCCATTTATCTTGAATACAAGTCGAGATACTTGCAACTGAAAGAGGTGGGGGTCACCTGTTTTCAGAGGTAAAATTAGTGAGGAAATGGCCGCCAAAGATTAGTTATTTCCTTAGCTTAAGAGCCTGTGGTGACTGAAAATTTACATTTTTGTGCCTTTAATCAACGTTTTTCAGAAAAATCCACACAGAAATGAGTTCTTTAATGGGCATTAAAGGTGTTGAGTCAAAAAACAAAAATTTGATAAAAATTCACAAACCTGCAGAAAAATTCAGATTTCTTCACTTTGATTATTTTAACGAGAGCCTGATTCCACCACGCTGCCTCACAAATGCAGCTTTTGGGACACCTGAATAGACATAAGGGTCTTGAACATCTAGCTCTCACTGGCAAAATTGAGGGCAAGCGAGGCAGGGGTAGGCCCAGAAGAACATACTTAGGGAACCTAAACAAATGGGTAACAGGGAAAGATCAGGGAAACGTAGCTTTTCTGAGAGCATCCGAGCAAAGGAATGAATGGAAAATCATGATCGCCGATGTCTGTCGCAGATCTGGCACTGGATGATGATGAATGGGGCGAAATCCCGATGATCAAAAACAAAACAAAACAACAACAACAAATAGTTCTAATTTTAAAAAATGTCCCTATAAAAAATGGAGGCAAGTTATTGTTGAAAATGTAGAAGAGTAACACCTTCTAACGATGTCTACTTTAAGAATACTACTTATAATAGAAGAGTAATAATAACAGGAACGTGTGGCATGATTGTGTGGAACAAAGAAAAGTACATTTATAAATCGAAAGAGCTGAAAGCGTTGGACTGACTTACCTTTTGAATTACATTTACCAGGTTATAATTTTGCAAGGTCCAGGAACTAAACTACATAAAATACTCGATTCCAATTATAATCCTATACCACATTCAAAACCTATAAATGAATTACATGAAATAGCAATGAATCATGGCATCTGTTATAGAGATACTAAAGATGGATAAGACTGTGATAAATCTATGCTTAAAAGTGTGAGATATACAACATCACAGTAGAAAGGCAGAGATACTAGATAACAATTTTCTCCCCTCTTGGAAATCAACACTAGGTCTCCTGCATGTGACAGCGAAGCTCTTAACCGCTACACCACAGACGCTGGTTCCCGTACTCTGTATCCATCTGATCTTTGGTTGTAATGATATTATATGTAGTCATGGTGTCTAGACATTCCCAATTAGGGTCTACGTAGTCATGGTGTCTAGGTAGTCCTCAATGGGGGTCTACGTAGTCATGGTGTCTAAGTAGTCCCCAATCGGGGTCTACGTAGTCATGTTGTCTAGGTAGTCCCCAATTGGGGTCTACGTAGTCATGTGTCTAGGTAGTCCCCAATCGGGGTCTGCGTAGTCATGTGTCTAGGTAGTCCCCAATTGGGGTCTGCGTAGACATGTGTCTAGGTAGTCCCCAATTGGGGTCTGCGTAGACATGTGTCTAGGTAGTCCCCAATTGGGGTCTACGTAGTCATGTGTCTAGGTAGTCCCCAATTGGGGTCTACGTAGTCATGTGTCTAGGTAGTCCCCAATTGGGGTCTACGTAGTCATGTGTCTAGGTAGTCCCCAATCGGGGTCTGCGTAGTCATGTGTCTAGGTAGTCCCCAATTGGGGTCTGCGTAGACATGTGTCTAGGTAGTCCCCAATTGGGGTCTGCGT